GGGACAATCTTATGCTAGAAGGTCAGTGGATTTGAATGTGGAATAATGTGCTTTAGCCCCAACTGACTTTATACAAGTTCTTAATACCCTCTTTGTTAAATGTGCCCCTTTAAATCTGCACATTTATTTCGTTCTTGCATAGTTGACACTTTTCTACATTTCGTTGTAGTGGTGTTTAGAGAAGTGTAAAGGGGTGTTTAGAGAAGTGTAAAGGGGTGTTAGGCATTGATCTGGCTGCAGTAAACACATTAACAAGCTGAGGTTTTGATAGCTATATACCAGCTGCTGCATGTTAGAGAGATTGTAAAATCATGACTCATCATGTCTTGATACCATCTGACAATCTCTGAGCTTCACTTTACACATCTCTCTTTCAAAGCTTTCTATTGATTTACTGGTAATATTTATTGCTGGGACATTTATTATTTGAAAAAAGCAATCTCCTAAATGATTCACAGTATCTGATCTACTCCAGAGTTTTCCCATGGCAACACTTCACATTCTCAAGGATATACATGTTCCCCGACTCTTACATTCAAGTCTTATCTTTTTGCTTGCTCTACAGTTCCTACATTTACTCTGTGAAGCCTGTTGTCAAACACAGTGGACAAATGAGTTCTTCTTCATCTGCAATGCTCCAGATTGAATACAGCACTTCTCAACCTCAAAGGTCACCATCTTTGCTAACAGAAGTTGCGGTACCAGCCATGACTGCTGCTGCTGCTTCGGTCAACGTCTCACTATTCGAATATAAATGATGTGTTTTGCTGAAAAACATCCAACTATATTGTGTCAAAAAGAAGCCACTGTTTATATTGTCTTAATTAAGCAGTCTGTAAGGATTTAGTACCGCTAACTATAAAGTTGCTAGCTAGCGATCCTCACGTCAGGTTACAGCTCAGCAGCGGTGTGCCGTTTGAGACAATGCTACCCAGAAGTTGAAATCAAACACTGCGCAGGTGTACAACATACTAAGAGAGGAATCCTAATTGAGACACTGCACCTTTGGGTGCTAGGTCAGGTCTGATGCTCTGCAATAAGCTGATACGATGGAAAGGAACTGGAGAGCCAACACGTTTAACTTCCAAGAATAAAGTTACCCAGTGATCTTCTGTACTGTTGGGCGAATAACACAAGCGCACCACCTCACAGTTGCTCAATCTAACTCATTTAAATGAACAGGCAGGAACATAACCCTGGATTTGGTTGAACTATTAGCTTAGCCACCTCAATGTTGAGAGCGGTGGAAACGCTCAATCATTAAAATGTTATTAGTTTTGTAGTTAGAGGTAAATATCCATCTGGATCAATGCTGCCAAATTAAATTCACAGTTCATTTATTGTAGTATTTGAAAGTATTTAAGTACAGTATTTCTCACCATTATTTCCCATCACCTGTATTAAACTGTTTTACCAGGAAGTTTACGCAGTAAATAAATGAAAACATTATCAAAAGTTGCAGCAGCTGACCATTGAATGACTTCTGAACACTGTCCGGTACGTAGAAATACAGGCTCTGAGCCTTCAGGAGAAATGTATGTCTCCATTACCACTGCGTCACCACCGAGCCGTCAAAGGGCAGAAGATTAATGGAGAAAAAACGACAACATAACAAGCGCCACGAGAGTCACGACAGGGAGAAAAATGAATTGAGGCACACATCACAAACCAGTCACTGGAGTGTTGGAAGTGACAGGAACATTGGCCACATGGGGCATCAATGAAAACTGACTTTGATTCTTACGGACTAAACTGTCACACATTCAGGCCTGAAGAAGAAAGCCAGCCCTCTTTGTTCTGTTCTCTAACCTCTGTGCTTAAGTGAACACTTTGGGCATGTCACACTCCTTCAAAGGAATATATTTAGAGTTTCAGAACAGAAGGCAATACCCTCTGTAGCAGCGAAATAAGAAATAAATCAGAACATTTAACTCAACAGAAAGCGAATCTCACGCAGGGAATAATGATCCAAGTCCAGGCAAGAATATCCTTCTCGTACATTTTCTTGTAAACAAAGTACAATTTCACATATACTCTTGCCCTATAGCCTTTCTGTTGGCATGTGTGTTCCAACCTGGAGAAAAAACATGCTGGTGCTGGTGCGCTGATCCCACCACCTATTTCCAATATATACAGGTGCCCAAAAGACTATTTAAATAACAACAATAATTACAATGAATAATGATACATTTTATATATAGAAAAACTGCAAGAAAATAAATATGTATCATTAAGTAACCTGAATAAATATACAGCTCAATGACCCTCCCTTCAAGAGATTCACCCACTTTACAATAACTTTGAATTGGCTGTAAGAACAATGACATAGTGTCCTGTTCAAAGGACAGCAGACTTTGGGGTGAAGAACTCAAGGAAAGCCAGAAATCAAGGGGAACTGCTGGAGCAAGATATCAGTTGTGAATTACTGTTGGTTTTACTAATGAAGGAGTATAACTCCCATTAGCCTGGGGCTACAGGAGCCGCCTGAGGGTCACGGCCCTCATTACAGGGAGTCCAAATGAATCGTGTAATGTATTTCCTTTACTAAGATAAAAGAGGACCAGGCGAGACAGAACACAGCAGAGATAGCGCAGAAGAATTATTTGAAGATAAACACAGAGAGCAGAAGAGGTGGAAGGAAAAGTTGTTTAATTCAAGGCACAGTTTCACTCGGAGGTTTAACATTCAACTGCAGCCCGATCCAAACCTGAGAAGTATGCAGCGCACACTATAATCAAGCCTGGAGGGAAGCTGCAGCCTTTCAAACAGACACCAGCCTGAAACCGGTAATATATCATATTTCTTATCTTAAAGTGGGAACAACTTGAGTGTTTTTAATTTGACCATAACCTAATTAAAGCTAGTCTAAACAAGGAGCTGGTTGACTTGCAGAACAAGTCTCTAAAAGTGATTCACCTTTGTACTTCTTTCTTCTTAAACGCTTAAAGACATTACAATGGAGTAAAGACCCTGAATGTAACTTTTCGTTCTAAGCTTAAAAAACAAGATCCACCAGGAGATGCAAATGAGAGCAAGTAGATATGTCGACCCTCTGGCTTACTGGAATATCTGAGATCATACATCATTACATTTTTACAGAAATCTCACAATAGGTGTCCTGTTTCATGTTTCAGGACCGCATCACAATGCCTGCACCCAATCCACGGTTTAATGCTAATTCCTGCGGTGTTTTGGAGCTGTGGGAAAAACTGAACTCTGAGTCTTTTGTCCAAAGCGACTTCAAATAAGTGCAATAAACCATAAAGATACAAACTCAGAACCACAAGAAATATGCAGGTATATTGTTTTCAAATAAGCCAAACCATTTGTTGAACAGCGAAACAGGTGGGTTTTCAGTTTACTACAGAAGATGTTTCCGCTTGTCCTAATATCAATGGAGAGCTTGTGCAACCATTTTGGAGCCAGGATAGCAAACCGGTGTGTTTAAGTTGAGGGTTACCTGGGTCCAACTCGCAGTGAGGGAGTAGCAAGCCGATTGGCCGTAGCAGAGAGAAGTGTGTGGTTTAACAATGTCCTGGGTGTGTGAAGGACCTGATCCCCTCACAGTAGGCCAGCAGTGTCTTGAAGCGGATTCAAGCAGCCATGGTAGCCATTGAAGGGAGTGAGGAGCAGTGGGAGAACTTAGAGGGGCTATTGTGCTTTTTGGGATGTTCCCTTGTGTACATATGCACATATTTTGTTTACTTGACATAGTTACTATAACACTTGTGCTTCTATTATAGTGCTTTAACACATTCTATGTGATAGACTAATGGGGGGAACATTTCCGACACTTCCCTAAGCGGTTGGCCGATCACAAGAGAGCGAGACAGCTAATCAATCAGAACAGACTGGGCTCTGGTCTCAGACAGAGGGTGAAAAGAGGGGAGAAAAACATTAAAGCATGTCACAGTAGAGACACGAATTCTGGATGAGCTGTAGAGGTCTGATGGCAGGTCGAGAAACCAGGAGGGAGTTGCCGTAGTCAAGACGTGAACATTGCTGAATAATAATGATGAACGGGCCTATGTCTGTTCTATTTAGCTGACTAATGACTTTCTCCATTCATCTAGGGTGCTACACTGTGATTACTTAGTATATCAAATAGAAAAAGGTCCTCTCTAGAAATCCCAGCATGTCAGTATAATGAAGGCAGAAGCATTCATTTTGATTGACATAAATGAGCCTTCAGAGAGTGTGTGTTAGTGTGTGTGTCCATGTATGTGTGTGTGTGTACGTCTGTGTGCGCCCACGTGCAAGCATGTGTGTTTGAAGTTAAACGACTGTGTAGAAAAGGCGATAATGTGTTGCTGACACTTCTCAGAGCTGCATGTGAGAGAGCTGTAATGAGGCAGATCACGGAGCTGACTCACATGTAATTAAAGCTACATACAGTAAGGGGGTCTGGATAAAAATGTCACGTACATAGAGAGGTTACATAAGATGTGGGCTGCAGTTTAATTATAAAAACAATCAGGTCGCATGTCCTTTTCTTACCACTTTCCTAACCACAGTGACAAATGTAATTGTTCATAATGCCTGTGCTGCAGCACCTCTTAAAACATGTTGCATTGTCAAGTTATGGCATGAGATACAAAATGCTGAATGAGAAGCTTAACTTTCGGTGATATGATATGATCTCCTTGTGTCTTGTTTTACTTCCAGTCTCTGTTTTCCTAGTTGTTTGTTTGGTTCTCTACACCTGCTACCTGTGTGTTTGTGCATGCCCTCCCCAGCTGGGTCTTGTATCAGATCTGTGTGTATATGCCTGTGCTCTCTTGTGTTCATCATCTCTGTTCCTGTCTGTTTATTGATGTGTGCTGTTACTTCGTCCCTGCCTGACTCCCTGTGATCCTGCCATGGTGTTTCGTGCCCTCTCTGGACTATGCTCGATCAGTTTTTCTTTGTTTTCTTCTACCTTCCCCCTGTTTTTGTTATCAGCTTTAGTTCATTAAAAGCTTGTTATATACACCTGATAATGATCTCCTTTCCTTTCGTAGAGGATGGTCTGGTGTATCTTATGCTAAAGGAGATAACAAAGGAAGCATTGAAGCTCCTTTCATTTCATCTAGAGGAATCAAACAGCTCTTATCATGACTGCACCTTTGGTACTCCCGGGACATTTCATTTATTTAGGAACGTTTCTAAGCAAAGAAGACTATTCAACCACAAAGGGGAAAAGGCAGAGACAAAAAGGCTGATCTTTCATCTCTCAGCAGGCCTGAGGTGTGTACTGCTTCTCCACAAGCTTGCAGAACTTCAAAAAGCAGCGTCCATGTCTGGGAGAGCTCTCATCGTCCTGTTCAGCACTCTCATCACACACCGACTGCATTTACATTCACTGGATAAGCATCTTACTGTGAACTGTATATATTCTGCTTCATTTGTGTCTGTTTATCCACAAACACAGAGTTCCTCCTGCAGCCCGCCTCCATCCACCCTCATGTGAGGGGACGTGTCCTGGGAACGGTGTGTCCAGATGTTAGATGATCTTATCAAAAACACATTGCATATAGGCATACTAAATTCACTTGGCAACCCTTGGGGCTGAAAAATTGAAGCCAAAATGGAAGTTGAATTGGAGAGCCTATGGGAAATGAATATCTATTACCTCAGAAAAGATTGTCCTAATGACTATATGGTCTCAATAGCTAATTCAAGTCTTTTTCAATACAGAATGATGATCATTTTATAATTGATGATCCAATTTAAAGTAAAACCAGGGTATGCTTCCGTATTGTGTGTGACTTGAGTTCATGAATGTGAATGGTAACGTTATGGTAGACTTAAAAATGTCTTGTACTGCGTTGAGTTGTACTGTTCTCCCGGCCTCGACACTTCTAATTCCAAATAACCAAGATGGTGACGACCAAAATGCCCAACTGTAAGATTTCACAACCGTATATATTAAGCGTCTTTGAGCACCTGTAAAAGTGCTAACAAAATAAATCTATTATTATTATTATAAAGTATATAACTGTAACCTAGGATCAGCCACAGTCTCATCCCTCCTCGGCACACCACAAAGCACTGGACCCTGCTTTGTGCCAGTAGGCATCAGGCTCCACAATAATAGGCTTGACCCCCCCCATAAAAACCCATTTAAATACATACAATGTAACAACCTGCACTGCATGTACTTATGACTTGCACCTGGACTCCCACTCACAAATTGATATATATTTAACATATCTATAATTATACTGTATATATTTAAACACCTTTAATTTTTATTTATAGCATCAATGACCTTTTTTTATTTCATACATTCCTTTATTTATATTACTATTATTATCATTCTAGTGTGAATTCATATCTATCTTATCCTGTGTTTCACCCTTATTGCTGTTGCTGCTAAGAACCCTGAATTTCCCAATGAAAATCAATAATGCTTTATCTTAACTTATCTAATGGTGTATGTTAATAGTAGTTGCTGTTGTGTCTATGTATGTCAAATACAGAATTGTTCTTTATTTAAAAGGCTTTTATGTTTGTTCTGTACAGCTGTACAGTTATTATTATGTATTGATCAATCCCAAAGCTAACCCAAGGTCAGTTCTGCTATCTGTATTGGTATACGTTTTTGTTGGACCTTCTATATGACCGAGCACTAACATGGTGTACCCCGGTGTCGGGAATGTGACTTTAAATCTTCTATCCTCAACTAAATAATCATGTCTATGAAGACATTTATAACCTCTGTACTGGTCTAGACTCATCTGGAGGAGGACATCATGAAAATGCTGATTGTCTCACGGGGAGAGTTAAGACTCTGGGCAGGGATGGAAATGATGCCCTTTTCTGGCATATTAACTCTGTAATGCTTGGCACAATAGAGACAGATGGAGTCATTTTCAGTTACATAACCCTCCATAATTTACACCCAACGTCTGAGCACATTAGAGGGTCGATTATCAACGCAGATCAGGCAGTTTGAAGCAGGGTGCTTAGGTATGAGGAAGTTTGCATGTGTGTGCGTGGGTGTTGATGAATGTCACGTCCCTGTGCCACCTTCATTGCTATTCAAGGCCATGCCTGGCAAAGGGAACGGATATGTCTCACTCTCATGCCTTCCCAGCAGGCGTGTGAAAGCTCCTGCGTTTACATGCTGCATGGCGGCTGTGAATCAGGCAGACTCTCCGTATATTTCTTGCCTCGAGTATGACTACTTTTCAGTCAAGCCATATTTCCAGATAGCGTTTTTTTCTCTTGCAAAAAAAAAAGCTGCTTTGGGGCACTTGAGAGTACTTCAAAACAGTGCTTCATCAAAAGTGTGTTCATGGGTTTTGTTTCTTTTACAACAATATCTTAACATTTTATTTCAGAATAACATATCCCCTTTGGTTTTTATGATCTATTCTACACTGAAAAAACTGAAATGTTGACTTTAATTAAATGTATTATGTCAACAGACTTTACTTAACTGTATTAGGTTAGCTGAAAGCAATAATATAATTTAGTTATGTGAAATCTGTTGACATGATACATTTAATTAAAGTCAACGGTTCAGTTTTTTCAGTGTACTTGGGCTACTGTCAATTAGCTTTGACCATTATCACTGACCAGAGTTTTCCATACAACAGACAATGATGACACCAGCGCTTTTCTGAAATGTCAGACTTATATATATACCAGCCAGAGCGCTGTAAAAAAAGAAGTTGGGTACAATGCTTTTACTCTAGCAAGCTCTCTCCTTATTGGGATAAAAGAATAATTGAAACACTCTATACACTCGGCATCACCGCTATTTGGTGTTTCAGTGATACCATTAGGCCTTCTTCCAGTGGGACTGAAAAAGGGACAATCAATGTGGACATTTCATTAAAGCATTATTGGTTATTAAAATAGGCATTTATTAAAACTCACATATTTTACTCGGTCAAAGACAGAATAAGTTCTTATAAGTCACTGTAAACCTGCTGTGATGATAAAAGATGGACCTTTTCTGAATGGCTGCAGGAAGAAATGTTTAATGTAAAGTTAAATGATAAAATCACACTCAGCGTGTGCACTCTAAAAACGAATTCAGGCGACCTTTCACCTCCACTTAATTAAATGCATGGTTGCAAGATAAAAATGTGAGTTAATTGATTTAGATAAACATTTGAAGTTGCAAACATTAATGTATAAGTTGTGTTGACGTAATAATGTTGGTAATTACATCAACTTAATATTGTGTGTAATTTGAACTCTGATTTCTGCGTTAATTGACTTAAAACTAAATTCAAGTTGTAGTAAGTAATGCAATTGGCTTGATAACTTCATTGTTCTACACCTTGAGTTAAGGGTTTCAAGTCCACTCCCACTTAACATGCCTGGACAAGTTCCCACAGTTAAGACAAATAGAAATATACAAAGGACATTTTAAGGTGAGTGTCATCTGTTGTCATTCAAATACAGTAGATAGCCTTGTAGTTGCACTGTATGGCAAATTGCTGTTTGACCAACATTAGCAGCCTTTGAACTGTGAATAGTTCTGTGAGAGGATACAAAGTAGTAGAGGCTACTGTGAGAGTACAAATACTTTGGTTACTATTGTGATATCGCTTTTTATTCAAAATGAATCTCGTGAAGCAGATCAAGGATGCTTCTTGAGGTAGGATTGTTATTTAGAGTCGTCATTGAAATGCAAGTTGTTGGCAGTCACCCATTCAGAATATATTCATTTAGGTCATTTCTCTTTTTTTCCTTTTTCAAAAATAGCACAATACAATTGAAGTACGCAGAGAACTATAGCCATCCGCTGCCTTGTCGTGTACCTTGGAGAAAAGGAAGAGGACCTTTTCAAGGAGTTTAGCGACGTAATTAAAAATCTTGAAATAAAATAAAATCCACGGGCACAGTGTCACAGGACAAAAGCACTGCTCTCTATCAGTTACATTTTGAAGCTTATTGCACTTTTGGCCACACCCCAATCAATAATATCTTAGCAACGTTCAGCATGGATAAGTGTTGACAGCAATGGCATGGGAAAAGGATTGTGTAACATTTGAAAAGTGGCTTCTGCTCTTCTGCTCCAGTTCACATAATGTATGGAACCTGCACAAAATATGAGAAGATACACTAAAACTTGCACGGTTGTGATTGACAAAATCTGTCCACATGCATTTAAACACTAGGCAAAGTACTCAAAACCACCTCTGTGTGTCTTCAGGACCACATTGCCATGACGACACACACATGCAGACTCAATAGATGAAAACAATACCAGCGTTGCTTTAGCAGCTGGTAATAATGGCTCTGAATTAGCTAAGAGTTTAAAAAGTATGCAATTACCTAATTCATTATCTCTTATGCGCTAACCTATTATTTAATGTGCTTCAAATGGACATGAATATCGCCTTCATCAGTGACCGGTCCACCTCAGGATCTGACCATACGATGGCAACCATGAATGAATGAGCAAGCATTCTGCGTTAAATGTGTTCATACTGTTTGAAATAATGACATCTTTGTTACATCTTTTGTAAAATGGATGTGTGTGATCTGCAGACTGATGGCCATTGAGAGTTTGTTTCTGTAGTTTTAAAACAACTTTACAGATTTTACATTGGCACTGGTTTTAAATATGCAAAGGCCTCTAACTTCGTTGTGATGGCAGCATTTATTTGCTGTGTCCCCATGTCCCATGGTAATATGGCTAATGTGTTTATTTATTATTTGTGGGGCAATTTAAATTTGTGTTATTTATCTTTTTTTTCAAGATTGAAATGAAGCTCAGCGCAAGTTCTTTCAGGAAGACTGGGTGTACATACATTCACTCCGCAGCTGCATATAATCAGCTCATCACAGGCGTTCTCTTTAACCTATTACATTTCACCTCATTCTCCAGCAGCCAATCAGCATTCTCCAGCAGCCAATCAGCGAGCTGCAGCCAAACTATAACATGGTTCTCCTCTCTCCTGCAGTCAGCTGTGATTTCAGGTGTCCATGCACCTTATCATATGACATGTGTCAATAAATGTTCAAACAAAATGAATTCTCTCCTGATTGAAACATCATGTGTTGAAATAAACAACTGCAGTTCAAAATAAAAAGTGAATTGCCTAATATTTTTGTTGTGGAATCAATTAATTTCTTTCTTTAAAGGCAAAAACATGAAAAAGCTAAGAAAAAAAACTATTGAGCACAATATATTTGGAGCAACTTCATTTATAAATGGTTGTCAACTTAAAAACGTGTGTTCACAATGATGGTAATTAAGTACATACAACTTAAAATTCCTTTTAAATCATGTGGTAAAACTAGTCGGAACAACTTAATCTTTTGAGTAATCAACTTCAAAACTTGTGTTTATGCTACCAATTATTAAGTAAGTGGTAATTAAAAACACCTCTGATTGTAGAGGAAAAGCCTTCTCCCCTAACTCAAATAACTTTGTTGCTTTAAGACAATTTCATTAGAAGTTGTCTTAACTCAATAAACATCGATGCAAACTGTTGCGTTGATTTTCTTTGTTGAGCCAAGGCATTTGTTTTTAGAGTGTAGGAAGTGTACACATTTCAAAGAGAGAAGCAAAGTTGAGGATTTTATCTTGGAATTTAATATGTCTGATCATGCAGGATTTCATACTTTATCCTAACTACTTGAGCTGAGCTGTTTTGTGTGTTAAAATGTGTTGTCTTATTGTGGATGGTGTGTTAATGTGTGTTTGACTGGACCACTACCATCACGTAGCATGGGAAGATTGATAGCCAAGGTTACATATAATCTAGGTAGTTTGCCAAGACATATAATCATTATATATTCACATGTTAAAAGTAAACGCAGTTAACCATAAGAGTAATAAGAGTATGACATGCCTTTATTAAGGACTAGACATATCTTGAAGATTGCAAGTTGAGTGCAATTAATGATATAGCATAATTCTGGATCTATATGCAGTGAGACAGCTATAGCAGAGACAATCAGACTGTCTCTGAGCCTTGCCCTGGAGTGGCCAATGCAAATATTAGCCTAATCTCACCTCTCTATAGAACAATCTCTCAGGCTCATGTATTATTCATCATAGACAAGTTGTTTCAAAGTCATTATGAATAAAAATCTGTGCCTAAGAACAGAGAGAAAAAAGAGAGATTAATGGATCTCATTTAGGAGGAACGTCTACATTATAGAGCTTGAAGGAGGCAGAAGATTCACCCTAAACCAGTCTTAACTGATTCACTGTAAAACGTATTTCTCTTAAAGACAATACAGCTAGTCAAGGTAAATTACACATCCTCTCCACTCAGCATTTATGATGTACCCCACCTGAGCTCACCTTAGCTGTGATAACATCACCACACCAATGAGCCACCCAGTCTCTTCTGCTGACAGGATGACAGCAAGGACCCCACAGAGAACCAGTGTAATGTTGACTGGATAATAGAATGGTCTGACACAAATAGTCTTATCATCAATACTACCGGTCAGAGGAAATTAGAGTCTCTTCCTAGCTGGGTGTTGGACAGAAGTGGAAAAAGTACTTAGTAGTTTCTTTA